GCAGTAAAGTGACACTTTGTGCCTGCCGCTAATTGCTGTCAATTTGAAAAAAATGCCGTTGAACAGCTGGATTTAAACCCGGTACCTTCTGTATGAAAGCGCACTTCCCTCTCCACTATACTACCGACCTTTGATACGTAGTGTAACTTTACCGAGCTATATTAACAAAACAAATCGTTTGACACATGTCATAATATTCGTAAGTTAGAATATCTTCATATCGTTAAATTTTGCGGTTGGCGATAAAATGTTGTATGCAACACGTCAGCAAAGTGTCTTTATCGAACTCGCCTGTTTATTCGCCTCGCTCGCTTCGCTCGCTCGACTCGCAAACTCAGACTCGTTCGATAAAGCATCACTTTGCCGACTTGGTACATAAATGACTATTTTCGATAGAGTTGCAATTTTGATTGTAATCTAACCTGTAAAGGTAAAACGTCAAACTTTAAACAATCATACTAGACTTATTTTTAACGATTAAGACGTGGTTTTTGTACTAAATTAAAGCTAAAACTGTCTTCTTTAAAATGATATATACCAGTTTACCGTTTTATTACAATTATCCCTAAAAATAATATTTTTCTTAAGAGTTTTTTTGAAAAATTTTTCCTATAATTAAGTATTGACATTTTACAAGTTTACAAAGAAACTTTATTATTTGATAATAAAGTATAATAATATTGTCAGTGCTTAATTATAGCAAAAATCGAAACATTTGTTAAACTTTAAAAAATCTTTTCGACTTCTTTCTTCTTTCGTAGAAACTTTATCATCAAATGTAATACTTATTATACCTAGACATGAAGATCAAAGTTTAAACTTTAATTTAAGATAAAAGTTGTTTCTTAGTTCCCATAAATAAAGTAAATATGATTTTTTAAATTTTAGTAAATATTTTCGATTTTTGGTATAATTAAGCAATGAAAATTTTCGATTTTACAACGAAACTTTATCATCAAATGTATTACTTATTATACATACGTACGAAGACCAAGCTTAAACTTTAATTTAAGATGAAAGTCGTTCCTTAATTCCTATAAATAAAGTCGATATGATTTTTTAAAGTTTAACAAATATTTTCGATTTTTGCTATAATTAAGCACTGATATTTCTCGATTTTACAAAGAAACCTTATCATCAAATGTAATACTTAGTATACATAGACATGAAGATCAAAGTTTAAGCTTTAATTCAAGATAAAAGTCGTTTCTTGATTCCTATAAATAAAGTCGATATGATTTTTTAAAGTTTAACAAATATTTTCGATTTTTGCTATAATTAAACACTGACATTTTCTGATGTAACAAAGAAACTTTATCATCAAATGTAATACTTATTATACATAGACATCAAGATCAAAGTTTAAACTTTAATTTAAGGTAAAAGTCGTTTCTTAATTCCTATAAATAAAGTCGATATGATTTTTTAAAGTTTAACAAATATTTTCGATTTTTGCTATAATTAAACACTGACATTTTCTGATGTAACAAAGAAACTTTATCATCAAATGTAATACTTATTATACATAGACATCAAGATCAAAGTTTAAACTTTAATTTAAGGTAAAAGTCGTTTCTTAATTCCTATAAATAAAGTCGATATGATTTTTTAAAGTTTAACAAATATTTTCGATTTTTGCTATAATTAAACACTGACATTTTCTGATGTAACAAAGAAACTTTATCATCAAATGTAATACTTATTATACATAGACATCAAGATCAAAGTTTAAACTTTAATTTAAGGTAAAAGTCGTTTCTTAATTCCTATAAATAAAGTCGATATGATTTTTTAAAGTTTAACAAATATTTTCGATTTTTGCTATAATTAAACACTGACATTTTCTGATGTAACAAAGAAACTTTATCATCAAATGTAATACTTATTATACATAGACATCAAGATCAAAGTTTAAACTTTAATTTAAGGTAAAAGTCGTTTCTTAATTCCTATAAATAAAGTCGATATGATTTTTTAAAGTTTAACAAATATTTTCGATTTTTGCTATAATTAAACACTGACATTTTCTGATGTAACAAAGAAACTTTATCATCAAATGTAATACTTATTATACATAGACATCAAGATCAAAGTTTAAACTTTAATTTAAGGTAAAAGTCGTTTCTTAATTCCTATAAATAAAGTCGATATGATTTTTTAAAGTTTAACAAATATTTTCGATTTTTGCTATAATTAAACACTGACATTTTCTGATGTAACAAAGAAACTTTATCATCAAATGTAATACTTATTATACATAGACATCAAGATCAAAGTTTAAACTTTAATTTAAGGTAAAAGTCGTTTCTTAATTCCTATAAATAAAGTCGATATGATTTTTTAAAGTTTAACAAATATTTTCGATTTTTGCTATAATTAAACACTGACATTTTCTGATGTAACAAAGAAACTTTATCATCAAATGTAATACTTATTATACATAGACATCAAGATCAAAGTTTAAACTTTAATTTAAGGTAAAAGTCGTTTCTTAATTCCTATAAATAAAGTCGATATGATTTTTTAAAGTTTAACAAATATTTTCGATTTTTGCTATAATTAAACACTGACATTTTCTGATGTAACAAAGAAACTTTATCATCAAATGTAATACTTATTATACATAGACATCAAGATCAAAGTTTAAACTTTAATTTAAGGTAAAAGTCGTTTCTTAATTCCTATAAATAAAGTCGATATGATTTTTTAAAGTTTAACAAATATTTTCGATTTTTGCTATAATTAAACACTGACATTTTCTGATGTAACAAAGAAACTTTATCATCAAATGTAATACTTATTATACATAGACATCAAGATCAAAGTTTAAACTTTAATTTAAGGTAAAAGTCGTTCCTTAATTCCTATAAATAAAGTCGATATGATTTTTTAAAGTTTAACAAATATTTTCGATTTTTGCTATAATTAAACACTGACATTTTCTGATGTAACAAAGTAACTTTATCATCAAATGTAATACTTATTATACATAGACATGAAGATTAAAGTTTAAGCTTTAATTCAAGATAAAAGTAGTTTCTTGATTCGTATAAATAACGTCGATATGATTTTTTAAAGTTTAACAAATATCTTCGATTTTTGCTATAATTAAGCACTGACATTTTCTGATGTAACAAAGAAACTTTATCATCAAATGACTACTTATTATACATAGCTATGAAGACTAAAGCTTAAACTTTAATTTAAGGTAAAAGTCGTTTCTTAGTTCCTATAAATAAAGTCGATATGATTTTTTAAAGTTTAACAAATATTTTCGATTTTTGCTATAATTAAACACTGACATTTTCTGATGTAACAAAGAAACTTTATCATCAAATGTAATACTTATTATACATAGACATCAAGATCAAAGTTTAAACTTTAATTTAAGGTAAAAGTCGTTCCTTAATTCCTATAAATAAAGTCGATATGATTTTTTAAAGTTTAACAAATATTTTCGATTTTTACTATAATTAAGCATTGACATTTTCTGATGTAACAAAGAAACTTTATCATCAAATGTAATACTTATTATACATAGACATGAAGATCAAAGTTTAAGCTTTAATTCAAGATAAAAGTCGTTTCTTGATTCCTATAAATAAAGTCGATACGATTTTTTAAAGTTTAACAAATATTTTGGATTTTTGCTATAATTAAGCAATGATATTTTCTGATGTAACAAAGAAACTTTATCATCAAATGTACTACTTCTTATACATAGCTATCAAGACTAAAGCTTAAACTTTAATTTAAGGTACAAGTCGTTCCTTAGTTCCTATAAATAAAGTCGATATGATTTTTTAAAGTTTAACAAATATTTTCGATTTTTACTATATTTAAGCACTGACATTTTTCGATTTTACAAAGAAACTTTATCATTAAATGTATTACTTATTATACATAGGTATGAAGACCAAAGCTTAAAGTTTAATTTAAGGTAAAAGTTGTTTCAGAATTCCTATAAATAAAGTAGATATGATTTTTCAAAGTTTAACAAATATTTTCGATTTTTGCTACAATTAAACGTTAAAAACGGATGTGTACTTCAAATTAATGAAAATAAAGTGACACCAGTCAGGGATAGAGATGTGTTTTTAGCAGAACAGAAAAAGGATGAATTCTGCTTATTAAATTAAAGATGAACATAATGATTTGAAAACTAATTATGTTAGCGACATCGATAACCTTTTATTTATATTGGGCGACTCAGGGAGAGAATTAATGGTTGTTCCTAAATCGTTAGTTCGAGAGGTTCTTCATGATTATCATGATTTACCATTCTCGAGTCTTTGTGGCCAGGCAAAAACATTGGCGCTAATCAAAGAAACATTGCTTTGGACATCTATGGCAAATAATGTTAAAAATTATTGTTTAAGTTGTGCATCGTGTAACAGACTTGTTATAAATCGGTATTACTATGGTTTTTTTCAGATTCATCGGAAATATTGCTGAATTGACACTTAATAAACAATTTCAACTACTTAATAAACATAAAAGAATGAGAAAATAAGATTTTGGTATGTTTTGAAAGTGTTTCAAAGATATCGAAATGTATTATATACTTACCTGTCAAAATGTAACTTTTTAATGGATTAAAATAATCCTTGGGATACTTATTAAGCATAAATAATTAAAACACAATGTTTCAAAGGTATCGACAAATAAAAATGTTTCTAAATGCTTCTAAATGGTTAAAAATGTGCTCAGAATACTTAATAACCATAAATAAATTAAAAATCAAGTTATTGACGTTTTATCAAAGTGTTTCAAAGGTATCAAAAAATAGAAATTGCTGGTTAGTGTGTGTCAAAATGTAACTAACCGATTAGAAACATTATCAAGATACATAATCATTGCGATTTTTTAATTTTTACCTCACGTGCTCAAAACTATACTCATAAATCTTAATTTATAATTATACAATCGAAATTTCTTAGTAAATAAAGATAAGATAAGCGAGATAAATGTATTGTTGCAATACTTTAATTCATTTATTTTGTTCGATTATTTGTACAACGAAATGGGTAAGCTTATTATTTATTTATAATTATCCAAAATAATATAATTTCATTTTTAGATTTCTTTATTAAAGTGGTATTTATTTTATTAACCACAACTTTTTCTGCAATACAATCTCAAAAATTACCCGAAACGGTGAAACCTGAAAATTATTATTTAACCATCGATACCGATTTGGTTAGCTTAAGATTTTCTGGAACTGTTAAAATCGATGTTAAAGCTTCTTCTGTAACTAACATAATTTATTTGCATTCTAAAGATTTAACAATTCAAAATGTGACTTTATCGAATCAAAATACCCCCTTAGGAATTAGGCATTCTTTTAATACAACATCCGATTTATTAATTATTAATTCGGATACTCAATTAATGCCTACTTTTTCTTACCAAATAGAAATTAAATTTCAAGGTAATCTAGGTAAGGAAAATGTTGGATATTATCGCGCTTATTATTTAGATGAGAATAAAGTTAATAAGTAAGTTAAAAAAAATTTTTGGATTAATTAATTAGTTATTAATTTAATAGAACGATGGCTGTAACTCATTTAGAAGCTACAAACGCAAGGAGAGCTTTTCCATGCTTCGACCAACCCAATTTTAAAGCAAAATTCCAAATTAACCTAATCAGGCAAAAATCACAAGTTACCTCATCTAATATGGATTTAGAAAAAACAGAAACGTAAATTAAATAAACATCCGCATGCTTAGGATATAATTTTAATTAATTTTTTAGAATAACAAACTCTAACAACGTAATGGACGTTTACAAAACAACATTAACAATGTCGACTTATCTCATTGCTTTTATGGTTTCTGAATACTCAAGTCTCAGTATGGAAGTTAACGGGAAAGTGTTTCGAACTTTTGGACGTCCGGAGCTTTTAATGCGCGGAGATGGTCTATACTCCTTAAAAATCGGTCCCGCGGCGATCGAACAAATGGAATATGCAACTGGAATTTCATATCCGTTAGCGAAAATGGATCAAGTTCCTGTTCCGAATGATTATTACAAAATCGGGGCAATGGAAAATTGGGGGATGGTTACTTATCGAGAACGAATGTTGATGTATAACAGCGATTTCTCAACGGCTCAAGAAAAACAAAAAGTCGCCACTATTATTGCCCACGAATTCGCACATCAATGGTTTGGGGATTTGGTTACGCCGGAATGGTGGAGTTATATTTGGTTAAATGAGGGATTTGCGACGTTTTTCGAACACTTTGCTACTGATTTGGTATGATACTTTTTTTGAGTCATATTTGAAAGATCGCGAATATGTAAGTTTAGTTTCGAATATATGATGATCGAGGATCATCAAACGGTGTTTCATCGGTGGTGTTTTTGGAGTTTATGGGATAAAAAGTTACTGTAGTTAATAGATTCGTTTAAAAATATAACAATTAATATTATTGATTAGCGTCTGTTCTGTCGAGATTACTTTTATTTGTTCTAAATTGTAATCATGATCATTTCTCCGAATACGTATAGAATATAATCACCTACGCTTCTGAAATATTGTTTATATGGGATGTTCCTTCAATCCAAAGTATTTTTAACATGGTCATCACTTCATATCCACCGGAAGTAGACCACAAAATCGTTATTTTAAATGTTAAACATTTCAAATTTTCAATAATATTAGCTTATAGTTTTCATACCATACCATATCATAAACAAGAACCTTTAACCTTCAATTTAACAAATATATCATATCATTATCCTTAAAATACAGTCGACATGATTTTTTGAAAATTTCATATTATTTTTGATTTATAAATTTGACAATGTCTTCTTTAATATTTTTTTCCTGGGACTTTAACTATATTATCATATAATTTTGATATCATATCATAAACTAGAACCTATAAGCTTCAATTTGCCATACATATCATATCTTGATTCTTAAAAATGTAGAAGATATGATTTTTGAAAATTTCGTTAATTTTCATTTATAAATTCGACAATTTCTTCTTTAATATTGTTTTCCTGGAAATTTCAATAACATTATCTTAAATTTTTGTATCATGTCATAAACTAGAATCTTTAAGCTTCAATTTAACAAATGTATGATATCATTATCCTTAAAAATACAGCCAACATGATTTTTGAAAAATGTCATATTTTTTTGTTTTATAAATTTGGCAATTTCATTTCAATATTTTTTCCTGGGAATTTCAATTATATTATCTTATAATTTCTGTATCATATCATAAACTAGAAACTATAAGCTTCAATTTAGCATACATATCATATCTTGACTCTTAAAAATGTCGATCTAATTTTTTGAAAATTTCGTTATTTTCCATTTATAAATTCGACAATTTCTTCTTTAACATTGTTTTCCTGAAAATTTCAATAATATTATCTTACAGTTTTTATATCATATTATAAACTAGAATCTTTATGCTTCAATTTAACAAATATATGATATCATTATCCTTAAAAATACAGCCGATATGATTTTTTGAAAATATCTTATTTTTTTGTTTTATAAATTTGATAATTTCTTCTTCAATATCTTTTTCCTGGGAATTTCAATTATATTATCTTATAATTTTTGTATCATATCATAAACTAGAAACTATAAGCTTCAATTTAACATACATATCATATCTTGACTCTTAAAAATGTAATGATCAAATTTTTTGAACATTTCGTTATTTTCCATTTATAAATTCGACAATTTCTTCTTTAACATTGTTTTCCTGGAAATTTTAATAATATTATCTTACAGTTTTTATATCATATCATAAACTAGAATCTTTATGCTTCAATTTAACAAATATATGATATCATTAACCTTAAAAATACAGCCGATATGTTTTTTTGAAAATATCATATTTTTTTGTTTTATAAATTTGACAATTTCTTCTTCAATATTTTTTCCTGGGAATTTCAATTATATTATCTTATAATTTTTGTATCATATCATAAACTAGAAACTATAAGCTTCAATTTAACATACATGTCATATCTTGACTCTTAAAAATGTAGTCCATCTAATTTTTTGAAAATTTCGTTATTTTCCATTTATAAATTCGACAATTTCTTCTTTAACAACGTTTTCCTGGAAAATTCAATAATATTATCTTACAGTTTTTATATCATATTATAAACTAGAATCTTTATGCTTCAATTTAAAAAATATATGATATCATCATCCTTAAAAATACAGCCGATATGTTTTTTTGAAAATATCATATTTTTTTGTTTTATAAATTTGACAATTTCTTCTTCAATATTTTTTCCTGGGAATTTTAATTATATTATCTTATAATTTTTGTGTCATATCATAAACTAGAAACTATAAGCTTCAATTTAACATACATATCATATCTCGACTCTTAAAAAGTAGTCGATCCAATTTTTTGAAAATTTCGTTATTTTCCATTTATAAATTCAACAATTTCTTCTTTAACATTGTTTTCCTGGAAATTTCAATAATATTATCTTACAGTTTTTATATCATATCTTTAACTAGAATCTTTATGCTTCAATTTAACAAATATATGATATCATTATCGTTAAAAATACGGCCGATATGATTTTTTGAAAATATCATATTTTTTTGTTTTATAAATTTGACAATTTCTTCTTCAACATTTTTTTCCTGGGATTTTTAAATATATTACCTTATAATTTTTGTTTAATATCATAAACTAGAACCTACAAGCATCAATTTAACATACATATCATATCTCGATTCTTAAAAATGTAGTCGATATGATTCTTTGAAAATTTCGTTATTTCTCATTTATAAATTCGTCAATTTCTTCTTTAACATTATTTTCCTGAAAATTTCAATAATATTATCTTACAGTTTTTGTATCATATCATAAACTAGAATCTCTATGCTTCAATTTAACAAATATATGATATCATTATCGTTAAATATACAGCCGATATGATTTTTTGAAAATATCATTTTTTTTGTTTTATAATTTTGACCATTTCTTCTTCAATATTTGTTTCCTGGGAATTTCAAACATATTATTATATAATTTTTGTATTATATCATAAACTAGAACCTATGAGCTTCAATTTAACATACATATCATATCTTGATCCTTAAAAATATAGACGATATGATTTTTGAAAATTTCGTTACTTTTCATTTATAAATTCGACAATTTCTTCTTTAATATTGTTTTCCTGGAAATTTAAATAACATTATCTTAAATTTTTGTATCATGTCATAAACTAGAATCTTTAAGCTTCAATTTAACAAATGTATGATATCATTATCCTTAAAAATACAGCCAACATGATTTTTGAAAAATGTCATATTTTTTTGTTTTATAAATTTGGCAATTTCATTTCAATATTTTTTCCTGGGAATTTCAATTATATTATCTTATAATTTCTGTATCATATCATAAACTAGAAACTATAAGCTTCAATTTAGCATACATATCATATCTTGACTCTTAAAAATGTCGATCTAATTTTTTGAAAATTTCGTTATTTTCCATTTATAAATTCGACAATTTCTTCTTTAACATTGTTTTCCTGAAAATTTCAATAATATTATCTTACAGTTTTTATATCATATTATAAACTAGAATCTTTATGCTTCAATTTAACAAATATATGATATCATTATCCTTAAAAATACAGCCGATATGATTTTTTGAAAATATCTTATTTTTTTGTTTTATAAATTTGATAATTTCTTCTTCAATATCTTTTTCCTGGGAATTTCAATTATATTATCTTATAATTTTTGTATCATATCATAAACTAGAAACTATAAGCTTCAATTTAACATACATATCATATCTTGACTCTTAAAAATGTAATGATCAAATTTTTTGAACATTTCGTTATTTTCCATTTATAAATTCGACAATTTCTTCTTTAACATTGTTTTCCTGGAAATTTTAATAATATTATCTTACAGTTTTTATATCATATCATAAACTAGAATCTTTATGCTTCAATTTAACAAATATATGATATCATTAACCTTAAAAATACAGCCGATATGTTTTTTTGAAAATATCATATTTTTTTGTTTTATAAATTTGACAATTTCTTCTTCAATATTTTTTCCTGTGAATTTCAATTATATTATCTTATAATTTTTGTATCATATCATAAACTAGAAACTATAAGCTTCAATTTAACATACATGTCATATCTTGACTCTTAAAAATGTAGTCCATCTAATTTTTTGAAAATTTCGTTATTTTCCATTTATAAATTCGACAATTTCTTCTTTAACAACGTTTTCCTGGAAAATTCAATAATATTATCTTACAGTTTTTATATCATATTATAAACTAGAATCTTTATGCTTCAATTTAACAAATATATGATATCATTATCCTTAAAAATACAGCCGATATGTTTTTTTGAAAATATCATATTTTTTTGTTTTATAAATTTGACAATTTCTTCTTCAATATTTTTTCCTGGGAATTTTAATTATATTATCTTATAATTTTTGTGTCATATCATAAACTAGAAACTATAAGCTTCAATTTAACATACATATCATATCTCGACTCTTAAAAAGTAGTCGATCCAATTTTTTGAAAATTTCGTTATTTTCCATTTATAAATTCAACAATTTCTTCTTTAACATTGTTTTCCTGGAAATTTCAATAATATTATCTTACAGTTTTTATATCATATCTTTAACTAGAATCTTTATGCTTCAATTTAACAAATATATGATATCATTATCGTTAAAAATACGGCCGATATGATTTTTTGAAAATATCATATTTTTTTGTTTTATAAATTTGACAATTTCTTCTTCAACATTTTTTTCCTGGGATTTTTAAATATATTACCTTATAATTTTTGTTTAATATCATAAACTAGAACCTACAAGCATCAATTTAACATACATATCATATCTCGATTCTTAAAAATGTAGTCGATATGATTCTTTGAAAATTTCGTTATTTCTCATTTATAAATTCGTCAATTTCTTCTTTAACATTATTTTCCTGAAAATTTCAATAATATTATCTTACAGTTTTTGTATCATATCATAAACTAGAATCTCTATGCTTCAATTTAACAAATATATGATATCATTATCGTTAAATATACAGCCGATATGATTTTTTGAAAATATCATTTTTTTTGTTTTATAATTTTGACCATTTCTTCTTCAATATTTGTTTCCTGGGAATTTCAAATATATTATTATATAATTTTTGTATTATATCATAAACTAGAACCTATGAGCTTCAATTTAACATACATATCATATCTTGATCC